TATTTGTTGGGTGGTTCTTTTTAAATAACCTGCTTTCCTTCTTAATGCATCAGAGTCATCTTTCCATGACCATTTGAATGGGTCTCCCTTATCCCTTCTAATGCCTATCCCTGGTAGGTGTGACCTTTGCGTCCCTGAGAGCACGTCTAAATCCCCAAATATACCCTCCACCACCACCACCAAGGTGGCTCTGCAGGCAGTGGGTACAGATTTAATGTCAGGCAGCCTGGATTGAAATCATTTGCCAAATCATTGTGGCCATGTTACTTAACCTCTTTGGTCCTCAGTTTTCCCATCTCTAAGACAGAGAGAACACCCCTGGCCTCACATCTGGGTGGATTTGGGGAATGCTAAATGGGGGGGTAGTGTGTGCTTAATCAACTGTTCTTATTTCTGTTTGTAAAGATTTAGAGCAGCGAACATTTAAAAATTGTATATATGTTTTAAAATTATTATATATATTTTCAGAAATACTTGCTAAAAGGTTTATCTGTGTGAGTCAGCTATCTTTCAGTTTCTTGGAACAAATCATCCAGGCCACCCACAACTGGTCACACAATTGATAGTTCTTGTCTCTCTTGCCTTCTGTAATTGTCATAGTTTTGTCCTACCTTTTTCCACTCTGAGTCACGCTTTTTAAAAAATACTCTGTTCAAAAAGACTCACATAGGCTGAATTTTTTTTTTTTTTCTGGAGAACTTTAAAGGAGAGATCAACAGCAATACAGTCATAGTAGAGGAATTTAACACCCCACTGACTTTATTTGCTAGATCTTCCAGACAAAAAAATCAACAAGGAAACAGTGATTCTAAATGACACACTAGATCAGATGGATTTAATTGACATTTACAGACCATTTCACCCCAAAGCTGTAGAATATGCATTCTCCTCAAGTGCACATGGGACATTCTCAAAGATAGACCACATGTTAGGACACAAAACAAACCTCTACAAGTTCAAGAAGATTGAAATCATATCAGTCATTATTCGGACATTTACACCATGGAATATTATGCAGCTGTAAATATGAAGGATCCCTTACCCTATGAGACAGCATGGTGGGACCTGGAGAGCATTATGCTAAGGGAAATATGCCAGTCAGAGAAAGACAATGTCACATGATCTTACTCATATGTGGAATCTCATGAACAAAATAGATTAAGAGACATAGAAGCATAGAAGCACAGAATCTCAGAGGGAAGGCAGGGGGTTGATAGGTAGGTGGGGAGAGATTAACCTACGAACTTATATGCATATATGCCTAACCCATGGACACAGACAATAGTGTGGTGAAGGTCTGGGGGGAGGAGTGCAGGGGAGAGGGGATCAATGGGGGGAAAAGGCGGACATTTGTAATACTTTCAAAATAAAAATTAAAAAAATTAAAGTAGAAAATAAATAAATTAAAAAAAATACTCTGTTCAAAGCTTAGGTTCCACAGTTCTCCCCATTTGTTCCCCCACCACAGTTGCTTGGTTTTTGGGTAAAAGTATGACTCAGGATGGTTTCTAAAAAGTAAATAAAGTAGGAGGTTCCCATGATACACATGGAGATATTCTACACTCTGAGGCCTCACGTGGGAATTCTATCAGTTAGCTCTAGCTGCATGACAAACATCTCCCAAAATATAGTAGCTTAGAATAATATGATTTATTTACATGAGTCTGTGGGTCAGTTGGGCGGTTTTTCTGGTCTGGGCCAGCTATGGCTCACCTCAGCTGCACTCACAGATCTGAGGTCAGCTGATGGGTTGGCTGGTCCAGGAAAGCCTCACTAACATGTATGGAGGTCGGCTGGCTGTTGACAGAGGCAATGGGGACAACTGGGCCATGTGCCTCTCATCCTCCTGGAGGGCAGCCCATGTTTGTTTGCATGGTGGTCACAGGTGCAGGAGAGCAAGAGAGGCCTAGGTTCACAGATGTCACAATGTCACATCTGCCATAATATTTTGGCCAAAGCAAGTCACAAGGTTACTCCAGATTCCATAGGGAGGGAGATTGACTCCACCTCTTTGCAGGAGGGGCTGTGGAGTCACGTGAAGGGTATGGATAGGAGGAGCAAAGAGTTGTGGGTATTTTTAGAATCAGTTGCTACAAGGTCTTTCTCTGGGAAATGGGCGGAGGCCTCTTACCCTACAGACTCCAGCCCTACCCCTTACCTGTTCCTACAGGGTTCCTCAACTCATTCTTTCTGGGCGAGTTGTGTTTGTCTTTCCCCTCATAGCTTCTCCTCTCCCCCCTCCCTGTCTCTCTTCTTCTTCCCCTCCCTCTTCTCCGTCCTCAGCTTATTCAGCGCTGCCCTCCCCCTTTAACACCAAGCTGAAATGTCACCTCTTCCTAGGAGCCTTCCCTGACCACTCTCACCCATACCCACTTCTCCTTTCTTTAAATACCAATAAACAACCAGTGCTGTACATTTTAATACCTAGGTTTTTAGAGCTACCCATGCATGAAGCTCCTAGCAGGTGCCAGGAATTTTCATCTTCCTAATGCTTGAGTAGATACTGTTATCATTATCATTTTACAGCTGGGCAGCTGGGCCAAGAGGGTGACTTTCCAAAGGGCATAGAACGAGTGGTAAGGGGTGGATTCTGTTTTCAAAGCCAAGCCTGTCCTGCTCCAAAACCCACCACGGCAGAAGCTGTGGGCGCCCTGCTGGCCACGTGCCTCGCTCTTTCTACTTCAGTGCACGCGGCTGGCCCGCCTTCCAGCTGCGGCGCCTGCATCTCTCTGCCCGGCTGCTCTCTCAATGGGCTTCATTCTGCCCACGTGGCAGGCTCGAGAGCTGAAGGATTCACTTCCTACGGGGGCAGCGCTCAACAAGTGACTGAGAGTGGTGCTTAGATACCCCAGGGTGGGGTAACTAAATGCCTGTCTGCACGGGCCCCTGAAGTCACCACAGTGACAGACAGTGATGACCCACCTTTATGGGCTGCTTTGCCCTCGCTGCCACACGCCTCCCTCCCCTACCACATTTCCCGGGAGCACCCCTGAATACGCTGCTTTCGCTCAGCCCATGTTCCAGGGCCTGCTGCTGGCTGGCTGGCTGGCTGGATGGAGCTGACACACCTCCCAACACCTTGGCTAGTTTGCCCTCCCCTTTCCCAGTCGCCTCTCGCCTCTCGTCACCTCTTGTTAAGTTGTAAGCTGCCTGAGGCTAGGGAAGCTCGCACCTCTCTTGCTTTTTCCATGGCACGTGATCATTCTCGGAACCTTAGACGCTCCATAAATGCTAATCCAAATCGTTTATTGATTCACGGGTATTTCCAGACTACAGAGATCAAGCCAAGAGTTGACATCTGGCCCCTCTTCCTTGCAGACAGTTCAGCTCCTATTTAAGATGCTGGTCAAATTCGTGACGATTTGTAAATATTCTCAGGCACCGACCCTTTCCCAAATCATTGAAACAACTGCCCTGCCGAGTAGCAGATGAGCTTTGACCGGGCTGAGGGCACAAGGCAAGCCTGCTCTTCCCGAGTGTCCTCAAAATGCTTTTGGGGCTCCACGGGCTAATGCGACCCTAACAAGATCCCAATAAAAATCTGAAATAACCTGATTTTCATTAGTTGTCCTTTTCTACTCGCCCATTAGAGTGTCCCTACCAGTTGTACAGTGTCCAGTACTTGTACATGGAACAGAATTGAACCAGATTGGATAAGCTGATAGCTGGGCTCCCTTCCAACTCACAGCTGTGAATTCTCTCCTGGGTGCCACATGATGTCCGAGCTCTCAGGAGGCCCGGCTTGAGGAGATTTGAAGAATAGGGACTGTGTTCCTGCTACGCACCACATACCTAACAGATACTCTTTTAGTTCATTCACCCTGTGAGGCAGGGTAATTACCTTATTGCCCCCACTTTCCAGATGAAGAAACTGAGGCTCAGCGAGGTTAAGTAGCTCACCCAGGGTAAGGTGGCATTGGCCATAGCTCTTCTCTCGGTGTTGACAGAAGCACAGGAGAGCAAGTGGAAATGTGCAATGAGGCTCAGAACTGGCGCCGTCATTTTAGGCTCGAAACATTGGACAAGTGTATGTCCAGGGGCTGGGAGTTACTCTCCCTCTAGTGGGAGGAACTGCAAGATCCCAAGACAAAGGTGGGCCATACAGGGAGAAGTGGGGAATTGGAGCCAATAACTTTATCTACGAGGAAGACAAAACTCGACACAAGGGAATGAATGGCTGCTGGGAAACATTCCCAGTGTCTGTGATGGAGATTTTGGGGAGCCGGGTATGTGGAAATAGAGTGAGGGACACTACTTCCCTCTCTCCTTTCCCTACAGCCAACCTGCTCCTGACTTAGAAACTGAGTGACTTCCAACACCATGACTATTTCAGTGGAGAATTAATCCACTGAATTAATCTGTGCAGGAGGGAGCAGGGGAAAGGCGCTGGATGGTCAGAGCCTAAGCTCTCAGGAGATGGAGCTATTCAAATCTTTGGGCCAACCAGTTGGCTCACCTGGAATTCTTTTTGGCCTCTTTTTGCGGAGAGCTAAAGAAGCAAAGCTAGAGAGTTAAGCAGACCCCAATAGAAATATCCCAGTCATATTATAAACTTAGGAAATATAACAGCTGTGGGGCATTCAGGGGGAAAATAATGAACGTAATTGAGTATTGTTGTCACTATATATTTCCACTTTTTCTGAGTTCAGAAGAATCCCTGCCCCTTTGGAGTTAGGTATGACTATGTGACTTGCTCTGGTCAATGAAATGAAAACATAAGTGGAGGGTACCACTCTGGGCAGAGGCTTTCAAGGACAGTGTGTGATTCACCACGGCTCCCTCCCACTGAGTGGTGCCCATGCAAGCACATATTGAGAGGGAATCTCCATCAGCTTCAGTCTCAGTGATGACAACAGGCAGCCCTCACCTGATGGCATCTGCTGAACATGTAGCACGAGACAGAAGTCAACCTGTCGGCTAATTCCTGACCCTTAGAAACTATGTGAGATACTATTGTTTAAGCTACTATGTTTAGGGTTTATTTGTTATGCAGCAATAGATAACTAATACACTGACAAAATTTAATTCCCATTCTTAAGCAAAATTGTTCATTCTTTTATATAAATATATGCTGAGATATTTGGCACGATATAGATGCCAGTAGAATGATAGTTACTTCTGGGTGGTGGACTTTGGGTCATTTTTCTCGTTTGTCTTTTTTTATATTCTCGAATCACTTTTCGTAACAAGCACGTATCATTAAAATTAAAAACAAAAATAATGACTCTGAGCCCGGGTGTAGGTACAGCACGTGTCATCATTACCCAGGCGGCAGAGCGAGGAGGTGCGTTCATAGGAAGCAGGAGCACCACTCCTTCAGGCAGTTAGAGCTCTCCTGGGCCTCACACTCCGTGGCGCCACAACAGCAAATGAGCCACCTCTGAAACTCCACTTCGTTCTTGTGCATCAGAAGGAACTGTCCCAGCAGGGTGTAAGCCTGTGGAGGGGGGATGAGGCAGGGAGGAAAATGGGAAAAGTTGTAATAAACCTGCTCAGATGTGCTCTTCCTCCCCCAATGCGAGGGCCCGTGTGAAAATCAAAGGAAGGGCGGGTCATATTCGAGGGAGACTGGCAGTCCCCAGAACCCTGAGTGGGAGATGGGGATTTGGGGACAGGCCCTTGGTGAGATGTAAGGCCAAGTTACATGCCCATCCCTCGGGGCCTGGTTGGGGGCCATCCAGTCTGGGACGAACCAGAGTGAGCAGACGAATGACCTGGAATCTTGTTAAAAGGCAGGTTCTGACTCAGTAAGTCGGGTGGGACCTGAGGGCCTGCATTTCTAACATGCTCCTGGCTGGTGGTTGTCTAAGGACAACATTTTGAGTAGCAAGAGCCTAGCATACCTCTGATGCTCCCTTCAGGCCTCTGATCTCCTATTTCTCAACCTCCCCGCCCCCCCTCCGAGTTAGAGATGCTCTCCACTCCACTACTTTCTCAATTAGTCTAGCAAAGGGTTTCTAGCCCTTGACACTGTTGACATTTTGGATAATTGTGTGTTGTGGGGGGAGGGGGCAGGAAGGGTCATTCTGTGCATTGTAGGAAGTTTAGCAGCATCCCTGGCCTGGTAATTGCCAGCAGCACACACCCTGAATTGTGACATAACTATCTCCAGACATTGCCGAATGTCCCCTCGGGGACAAAAATCTCCCTTCAATTAGAGTCACTGTACATGGGACTCGCTGGTGAAGGGCTTCTTAGCATAGATTTGTTTCTGCATGAGAACCTGCAAAACCTGGGCCTGTTTCTGCATTTTTGAAGGTGCAAAGTATGCCCTGCCCCATCCTGCAAACTGAATGAAGTGAGTTCAATGTGAGAGTATTAGCACAGTGTCAATTCCCTTTTCCTCCTGGGTGCAGAGCCCTGTGGGTGGAGCAGAAGGCATAAAACACTCCCATCTTTCCCTTCTGAAGAGTCTTGAAGGTGAAAAACATGTGTAAAACAAAGATTCCAGGATTCCTAGTCTATGTCATTCTTAGTTTTCTAACTACTTTCCCCACAATGCTTCATTCCTTTTTTCCCATTTTAATCACACTCTGACTGGTAAGGAGCAAGGACCACATGGAGAGAGGGACATTCAAGACTATATGACCACACATTGGCCCAGCCACCAAACAGTGAAGCCTGGAGATTTAAGGTCACGTTAAGTGCCCACCTCTGGGAGCAGCTTGGAGGCTCTCCAGCCTGCAATGGACAAGAACCAGTGTCCACATCTCGAGTCCTGGGCCATCTCCAGTGAAACCCACTGGCGTCTGTTTACTTTCAGTTCCATAAAACAGAGCAAATTTCGTCTTGACTGAAGGGAACATATTTTTTATAAGAAATTAAAGCTGAATCCCCGTCATAAAACATACCCAAGCATTAGAGTTTGGGCTTTTACACTTGGGGTCATGGTCCAGTTATTTTTCAAAGAGAAAAAGCCAGGATTTCATGGACATTTAAAACTGCTCTTTTAATCATCCTAAAAAGCAGTACAGTTGCGTAGAATAATCTCTTTTTACTTTATAAGTATTCTCAAATTTTCAGCAATGGATTTTACTGAGATGTTTTTATTGAACGTTTAAAAAATTAAAATTTATTGAATGTTAGTGGAGCCAGTTGCTGCAGTAGGTGTGGGAGGTGCAGACGTGAATATAACAGAATTAAGAAACACAGAGCTTCGTCCAAGGAGAGAGAACGTTGATGAGGAGGATGATGATGATGATGGTAGGTGGCACTTCTGAGTACCTTGGGTGGGCTCCAGACCCCTGGCACATTTTAATCCCTTTTTATTTTCTTAAAAAAAAATGTATCTTTATTGATTTCAGAGAGAGGAAGGGAGAGGGGGAGAGAGAGAGAAACATCAATAATGAGAGAGTCATTGATCGGCTGCCTCCTGCATGCCCCCGACTGGGGATCGAGCCTGCAACCTGGGCATCGAACCTCGATCCCCTAGATCATAGACTGATGCTCAACCCCTGAGCCACACCAGCCAGGTCACTTTAATCCCTCTATCCTCACCTGTGCCCCGTCCCATTCTCTAGATGGAGTCACCAAGAATTGAAAGGTTGAGACCCTGTTTTCCTCAGCCCCATTTTTGCACATCCCAACGGTCCCCAGTCGGGCTTGGCATCTGTGGGGTCCTCTGCCACTTTGAGGGCCTCACTGCGAGCATCCCCTGGTCTGGTAATCGGAGACTCCACGTCCACACCAGGCTCAGCAGCCGGGAGGCCAGGGAATGCATGGTACGCAGGGCCAGGAGCAAACCTTCCAGGAATGCTGCGGGAAGCAGGGCCTCGTCTTGCAGCCTCCAGAGCCAAGTTGCAACCTGACGCTCCCGTCTCCATTTTCTCTGGAGTTTCACCCTGCTGCCTTCCATCAGTGAGGAGGGACAGTTGGCTTGCTTCACCCTGCTCCTGAGGGGGCGCCGGAGTCCTGGACTCCCATCATGGCCCTGCCCGCTCGCTTTCCCTGCTGGCTTCAGAAAGCCAGCCCCTGACCCTGGAGAGGAGAAACTGTCCCTCTCCCTCCTTGGGCCAACGCTCAGAAAAATCTGACTGTAGGAATGATGACGCAGAGACACAGAAATCCTGAGCAGGCATTCCCACGCTCCTACCACCCTGGACAGTGGCCCCCTCGAAGCCAGGGATGTTCATTCTTTCCTGTGGCAGCCATGTCCACATGGCAGGATGGTGGCCCAAGGGCACACTTCCCCTCAACTTCAAGTCCAAACAGCGAGCAGGCCTGGACTGCCCTCGTTTGCCGTGCTCAATCTCTTGCTAAATAGTAGTAATATTTGCGCCTGCACTGGGGTTGGGTTCCCTTGTGTGTGACCCACGCAGTCACACTGGGCCCTGTGCTCAGGAGGCCCCACTTGGTCTAATTGTGAAAATTTTTTTTTTTAATTTTATTTTTGTTTAAAATATTACAAATGCCCCTTTTTCTCCCCAATGACCCGTCCCACCCCGTCCCTTCCCCCTCCCCAGTCCCTCTCCCCACCATTGTCCGTGTCCTTGGGTTGTGCATAGATGCATATAAATTCTTTGGTTACTCTCTCCCCCTCCACCCACCTGCCTTCCTCCATCCCTCTGACATTCATCAGTCTCATCTATGCTTCCATGTCATTGAATCTGTTCTGTTCATCAATTTATTAAGTTCTTTAGATTCCACGTATAAGCGAGATCATGTGATGTTTGTTTTTCGCTGCCTGGCTTATTTCTCTTAGCATAATTTTCTCCAGGTCCATCCATACTGTCCCAAAGGGTACAAGATTCTTCTTTACAGCTGCGTAGTATTCCAGAAATTCTTGATACCTTTAAACAAGGGGCCTCACATCTTCATTTTGCAGTGGGCCTCACAAATCAGGTGGCCGGTCCTTGTCCGCACTGATTAAACTTTTCAGTCTTCACTGTGACACCCGGCCTTTTCAAAACGTGACTGGGAGGCGTCCCTCTCCTTCTCAAGCTTCTGCTTTCCTTTGCCAGAGCCCCCAGGTCCTTAGCACCCACGGCGATGCACTTTCCATCGCTACACGGCCCCACTGTGCGATGGACAACTTTCTCTCTGTTTCTCTAACTCAGTGATTTTCAACCTTTTTCATATCATGACACACAGACTAATTACTGAAAATCCACGGCACACCAAAAAATATATTTTTTACCGATCTGACAAAAATAATGGATATAATTTTGACTCGTACACGCTGGACGGCTATCGCTGTGTTGGCTGTTGTCATTTTTATATTTGACAATCTAAGGGAAAAGAGGCCAGTGCCTCTGACTAAGTAGTCAGGATTGCATGTTTTAAAACACAGGAGAAAATAAAACGTTATTAGGACTAATTTCACCTGTTTCTTTTTCAATATGTAATCAATAATATTGTAACTAAAAATATTGATGAGATACTTTGAATTTTTGTTTTAAGCCTTTAAAATTGCAGTGTGTATTGTCTTAAACATGCCTATCACCCCACCTGTAATCCTCATTAAAAACACAGTTAAGCTGGAAAAGGCAAAACTATAGGGACAGAAAAATCAGTGGTTGTGAGGGACTGAGGGTGGGGAATGTAAAGATCATGAGGCGCATTTTGGAATGACAGAATTATTTTACGTATTGATTGTGATAGTGGCTACATGAGTGCATGCACCTGCCCAAACTTGCAGAACTGTGTGCTAAAACGGTAAAACTTACTGTATGTAAATGAAATTATTTCTTAAGTGATGCATATTTCTGACCAACGATGAAACCTCACAATTATGGACACACTAAGTCGATGGTGGTAGAAGCCAGACCACTCGTCACATCCGGTGTGGGGGGTGGCAGTGATCTGGAAATGCCACAGAACCATCTGGAATTCTGGAGGCATCTGGCCATCAGATCGAGGTAGTGAGTCCATCAAAATTCATTGAGCTGAACCCTTCATGTCAATGTAAGTGTGCTGCACCACAGTAGAAAAGTAAAAGGGACAATCGTTTCTTTTTTTAAAAGAATTTTTAATTTAGAACGTCTCCCCTAGTCAGACTTGCCTACTTTACTGTGCGCTCAGGAGTGGTCGGTCCTAACTCCTTTCTCTGAGAAGAAAGGACTCAATGTACCTCAGTCGTGGAGCTCCAGCTTCCTAACAGTACCACCTATTGGATAGTAAATTGGCTGCTAGACTGGGGTGATGTTCAGACTATTTAGCATCTGGTGCAAAGCAGCGTGTGGGTCGGAAACCCAAGGCCCCGTAGTCCAGGTGCCTCCTGGAAGCAGCCGTGCACCATGCGGGTGCGAACCAAGCTGCGTGTGGGCCGTGCCCGCAGCAGCTCCCGCCTCGCCGGTGTTTCTGCGCTTTCTGCCCGGAGGTGCAGGCTGATGTTGACAACTGAAGGGAGCAAGTGACAATAGTTCTGCCGGTGGCGCCTCTCTCGATGGAGCCGGAGCCGTGCCAGGCTCCGTGTGAATTTCCGTCGGCCTCTGTGCGTGCTCCCTCTTCGGGTGCTCACTGGGACCACCTCCCATTCTGTCCTTAAGTTCCAAGCAGCCTTATAGCAGCTCCATAGAAACAATCACATAGAGAAGAGTGTTCAGGTGCCATTATACATCCTTGAGGCCCTTGGGCTGAGAGTGACATCTTCAAGCAGCTCCCACCCTCTGACTCCGGCGTAGACCCCAGGCTGCTGTCACTCCACCTGCCTTTTCAAGGCCGGCGCCCTGCTAGGGCGAGTGAGACCCCACAGGTCTCTTTATGGGTGTGAGGCCTGCACCCAAATCATCCATCCCAACAGCTCAGCCCCAGGCTGGGGCCCCTGTCGACCTCCGGGTGTTTGAACACTGAGTGAATCATGCCTGGCTCAGCTGCTCGCAGCCAAAGAGATTCAGTTTCCCCATCACCCACTGGCCCTTGAGGCGGCCCGAGCACGTGGGTGGAGCCGGTCACACAGAAGCATGCGGCTCCCTGCCAAGTGGCAGTTTGCTCTCTCACGGCCACTTACAGAGGGACATGGAGCAGTGGCTGCCATCTGGCAGAACTAACTAGGGGAAGAGAGGCTGGGAAGAGAAGTTGGAGAAATGAGGAAAGAGGAATTACCTTGTTGAAACCTTTGGAGACCAAATTCATTGCAAGTTCATGGCTGATCCCATCTACCCAGACAACATCTTTTTCTCCAATGGGTTCAGAGAGGAAAGCTCTCAGCCTGGCAGACATGTGATCCATCTCTGCAACAGCAGTGGAGGAACAGTGTTAAGAAACGGCTGGCCGCTCACCGTGTGAGTGGACATCGGGGAACTCCCTCAGCCTGCCGAGGGACAGGCAGGGAGAGATGGCAGGATCCCTTTCACCTCCCAGATTTATTGGGGACTTTGAGATGCCAGGTGCCATGCCCAGCACTGAAGGCCTTTACACATCCGTTTCCACCTGGATGGACTGAGATGTGTAATGATGGCTGCACATGAGCCTAATAAAACCCCACAAATATCTGGGTGTGCTCGATACTAAGAACTGCAATGATCCTTTCCATCTCTTCCCATGCTACATGCTTAAAGAAACATTGCTTCTCTTAGCTAATTATTCCACCTTCTGAATCACACAACACTTTTTCATATTTTTATTTTTAGCATTTATCACACTCTGTAATAGTTGGTTGTTTGGTTGTAAGTAACAGAAAGCTCTTAAACTGGATCAAATATTAAAGAAGACAATAACAAAAGCCCAAGGGTAAAGGTGGGTAAGGCACAATCAGGTCACAGCTCCATTTCTCTGATTCTTTCCGTTTTTCCTCCTTGCGTTGGCTTCAGTCATGGTTGTTTCCCCTCACGGTGGTGAAATCGCGGCTCCAGCACTTATATTCCCCAACAGTGGCACCCCAAAAAAGAAGAGAGAAAGGTGTCTCTGAGGAGTTCCAGGCAGAGCCTCATTCAGTCTCGAAGGTCTGCATAGAGTCACTGTGTAAGCCTAGTGTCAGCTGTATGCCCCAGTCCTAGACCTGGGAGTGGAATTGGCTTTCTCTAAGTCACATGTAAGCTGTGAGTTCGAGTATAGTTACCTGAACAAAACCAGGATTATTATTCAGAGTTGGGGAGATAGGTGTTAGAGCCATGTAACCGTAACATCCCACTATGGTCCACCCTTTTGGTGAACCAACAATCATACCCACACTTGGCTTAAAAAAACTCATCCCTTCCCCTAAAGGGTGAAGTCCTATGATTCAGCCAGTTGTTGCATTCAATTCAAGTTCATTATTTTTTGGAAGACACATCATAGTTTCCATCATGTCTGAAAGTAGCTACTGGTGGAATGGTAACCTATGAACTAAATTCTGAAGATCCCCACCATCAGCATAGCCAGCAATGCCAAGAAAAACCCAGGAGACCTGCATTAAGCATTTCCAGAATGGGAGTTCTCCATTTGGAAAAGGGGAGCAATGAGAAACACATTCGGTTGTCCTTGGTCAATAGTACAAACAATATTGAGGAAATAATGAGGACTCATTGTCCTGGTGGTAAAGCAAGTTCCTAAGTCAGACAAGACGGCAGCCCCCAGTTCTGAGTTTGAGTGTGTCTACTCCATCTACTGCCATGTTAACATCTGAGTGGGCATGAGATTGATGCCTTCCAAGGAGAGTCCCTGTTTTAACAGCCACTTCTCATAGGTACAAGTTCAGAGATTGTCCTGAGTGATGGGCAATCTCAGGCCATAGTTGACCACTTGCTTTGACAATTCAGCTCTCTTAAAAATTTAATGGGTTTCTTCTATTTAAGTTCATGGGCTGGTAGTTTGAGCTGAGCTACTGACCTCAATATCCTTCGTCTGGCAGCTGGCCTCTGTGCCTTGCCCACTGCCCAGCTCCTCAGATTAGTGGCATCTTCCTTCATTTCTGAAGTGGAGAGCTACCCAAATTTGTTCCTTTCCATCCAGCTGTATCCCAGCTGCATCTTCACAATAAGTCAATTGTCCCCTTTATCAAGCTTGACATCCTTAAGATGCTTGGAAGAGATGTGGAAACTGGGGCAAAGTTTTTCCGGGGCCCCACTCTTTTCCTTCTGATAAGTCACCCAACTTGTTGCCTCTGTTTTGACTTTAGCCAGAAAAGTCAGCTTTCCAACCCATCAGGACTTGCTCGTCACTGTCCAGTCACTTTCGATTGCAGGCCACAGGCAGAAAGGCCTTCTGCTAGCAAAGCTGTATTATCATCTCTCTCCACTCTCAAATGGGCACCTTGCCCCTAAATATGAGTCTTCTGGGACCTTAATGAAGACTACCAGAGGTAGCCAACATCCTGAATATTTCCCACCAGATCTCCAGGTGTCATGTCTCCATGCTCAGAAGGCCCATGACCCAGGGTACAACAGGCCCACCAGACCAGCCATTTGGCTAAACCAGGGTCTCCGTCTCCCTAGTTGGAGCAAAGACATCCTTGCTGCTCTCTGCGTGAACATCTGTTTTCAGCCAACCCACATTTAAGGTTTGCTCACTGTCACATCCTCTTAGGTTATGATACAAGCAATAGAAAATCCAGCTCAGCATAGCTTACACAGTAGGAGGCTTTATTAGCATAAGCTACCCGAAAGTCCAGAGGTGAATCACATGAGGTTTGATCAAGACTCCAGCTTGATGTCCCTGCAACACTGTTGACTCAACCTTTCTTTACATATTGGCTCAATCCTCAGCTTGGTTCTTCATGGAAATAATAGGGCTGCAGCAGGGCCTGTAGTGGTCTTTTTAAGCTACCCCCCAACCCCCCACCCCCCTGCCAAGAAAAATGCTGTTTTTTCCTAGAAGCCACCAACAAATGCCTTCTTCAGTCCAAATCATCAGATGCCAGGCTCTAAAATGCTATCTATGGCTTAATATGAGTGTCCTACCTCTAGTTCAGAAAGTGAGTGTTACCTGCAAATCACAATGGCTGTAGGGTGGGGATGGGGCACAAAATCGGGGTAGTTGCCATGTCACCGGGGGTAGTTACCCTATACCACAATACAGAACCACCACATATTCCCCAGTAGATCATAAGGTCCCAAGGGCCTCAGCTGCCTCTGATGGCCTTTGCTCCCCACCTGAGCCCCAGCCCCAGTGCTTGGTACTGAGCCTTGCACATGGTAAGCACTCAATGACATAAACGACAGCTGCATCCATTGCTTTCAAATGTCTCTCTTTCATAGCACTAGTCCCTTTGCCTGTCTCCACACTCCCAATTCTCCTCCAGACCTTTCTGTAAAGTCCAGCTCTCCCTGTAAGCCTTCTTGCCCTCAGATGTTTTGTGACAATTCAGATGAAACTAAACTGTTCAGGAAGTACTGGATCTGGCCCTGGCTGGTGTGGCTCAGTTGGTTGGGTGTCATCTCACAAAAAGGTTTTAGGGCACATGCCTGGGTTTCAGGCTCGATCCCCAGTAAGAAGCATGCAGGAGGCTGTGTGAGGATGTTTCTCACATCAATGTTTCTCTTCCTCTAAAAATCAATTTTAAAATCTTAAAAAAAAAAAAAAGTACTGGATCTAAAGGCACCAATCTTAGGAGTCAGGGGGCTCCTAAGGAAAGTGGTCTAAACGTGCTGGCCGATTCTAGGAAAGGAAACATAAGGCAAGAGAGGTTGTCCAGGTCCCCTGACCCTGTGGGTCTCAAATACATGAATGTGTGAGCTGCAAATACATTATATACAGAGGGCACTGATCTCTCTCTCTAGCAGCTAACTATGAAGATTGCTCTCAATCTGTGAAAATGTGTTGATGGGTGAACTCGGCAGCACCCATCACCTCGTGGACAATGAACCAGGATTGGTGGCTCAGCTCAGGGTGGGTACGTAAGAGATCGGGATTTCTGAGTAGGAGAAAGGGCCCGAGCATGCTGGCAGGGCTCCCCAACTCTGCTGAGGGAAAATTCCATTCACTATCCATGTTGGCCACCTGTTAAGTCAAACATCTCTGCCCATTATAAGAATAAATGGAAACTACAACATCGTTATCAGTTTACCAACAACATCAAAGACAGGTAATACCTAGTAATACCTTGCATGTGTTTGCTTTTCTCGCACACCTGATCTCACTTTGTTCCTTGGAATGCTGTGGAGCATGGGCAGTGATTTTACTCTCCCAAAGACGAACTAAATAACAGGGCTTTGCATTAATTAGGATGCCTTTGTCTGAAATAGTGGTTCTCAACTAGGGACAAATTGCACCCCCATAACATTTGGCAAGGTGTTGGGAACACTTTTGGCTGTCACAACTGAGGGAGGGGACAGTGTGATCAGCATCTAATGGGTAGAGGTCAGGGTCATTGCTAAACATCCTATAATGCACACAATAGCCCCCCACCCCCAACAATTATCCTGCCACCACGTCCATAGTGTCAAGGCTGATAAACCGTTGGCTACAAGTAACAGAAAGCTTTATTCAAACAGTTAAACAAGAAATACATTTCTAATCTCACATAAACAGAAATCCACTGCTGAGATGGACCCAGGATTTTGTCAGTCAGTGCTCTGTGTTATCAAGTACCAGCCTAGCTGTCCCCACGGCCCCAAGATGCCTACATGGAGACTTTCAAAGGAAGGAGAGGCCATTTCTTCCTGGTGGCCCCGGAGCATCTTCAGTAGAACTTCCCTTAGTTTCGTTGGCCGGACCAGGCAACATGCCCACCCAAAAACCAATTACTATCTGGGAGAGAGGGACCACGTGGAGTGTGGATGAAGTCAGCCTCCTGAGCATGTGGCTGCTCAGGGAATGCAAGAGAGTGAAAGATTCTGTAAGAAGAAGGGGGAGAGGAGGTTGAAGCTGGGTAAGTAAACGACCTAATGACCGTGTCCACTATGTCTTCTAACCCTGCTCTAATATTCTGTCCATCACAGCTAGTGCTTCTCAAAGTTTCCCATGTGTGCAGACCACCCGGGGGTTCTTGTTAAAAATGCACGTCTTCTTGATACAGCAGGTCTGGGGTGGGGCCCAAGATGCTGCATTTCTAACAAGCTCCTGAGAAGATGCCAATGCTGCCAGCCCACAGGTCACACGTCGAGTAGCAAGGTGCTACATGATGCCACTTATTCTTTTTATGTTATTTTCTATTTGTGTTATTTTCTATTTAAAGTACAGATGTCTCCCCTTATTTTGGGGGAATACATTCCAAGACCCTCAGTGGATGCCTGAAACCGTGGATAGTACCGAACCCTGTAATATACTACAGCGATTTTCAACCGGTGTGCCACAAGAATTTTTTAAACATGCA